TAAATTTTAACATTTTGACAGTTATTTATACATTATTACTATTACGGTAATCTTAACATAAAATACTAAGATTCACATACGCCAAAGGATCGTACGGATACCAGAAACTTTTTTAGAAAGATTTATAATGATCAATGTTTTGCAAAAAAAGGGTTTGCGATAAATTATAAAAGTATTTACTTTATTGCTTTCTTCACCATGGAATAATTAATAATAATAAAAAGTAAACATTACACCTTGAGATGAATAATAAATTATTTGTTTTAAAATAATCAGTAAAGATTTACAAATATATAATTGGGTAGTGTAACTCCAGTTATAAATAATGATAATTTCAAATAATAATAATTTCAAGCAATTAAAAAATAATTAACAAAACATATGTTAAAGGTAATATAAATTTTTTAAAATTATTATTATTAGTTGTGCAAAAAATATAAATACAGATTTATCTCTACATATTATGAATCACTTAGTATCGTTAAAGAACTGTATGGTCAACTAAAGATTTTATTCGAATAATATTCAAAATATTTGGCAATAAATGAATAACATCAAAACGATAGAAAGTTTTAGAGATGTCAACGGTATTAGTTTGGAGATAATGATGCTAAAATGTAACCGGTATAAGTTCGCAAATACGAATTTTATTGCAAATGATGATGTCAAAAAGTGCCTAGAAGTATAACAAATATCAGCAAATGAACCTTAGAAATTTTGAGAGCTATAACGGATGTATTTTTGTACATGAGAGAACCAAAAAGTTTTAGAGAATACTAGTTTGCAAATAATTTTGTTTTCATATGACGCTGCGAGTATTTTAATACAAACTTCAGAGGTTGCTAATAAGATTGTTTTTAATATTTTGTACTCAAATTGTTTCATATTGTTAACTTATGTATTGTAATAATATTAACAAACTTTATCAATATTTATATATTAGGTTACCTAGTAAATTCTTGGGAAAAATCAAATTTGATCGTTAATATAAAAATGATAACGCATATATTCATATAACAAATTAGGATACGGATCTTTGAAAATCAAACTTGAGAATACAGATACAGATGACGATATATTAATTATTGAAAATGATTTACAGTTTCGGATGTAGACATACCGAAATATTAAATATAGATGTAGACATAAAAAAATATTCCTTAATATTATTTGAAATATATTTGTAACTGTTAAAAGGAAACAAAATAATACTGAAAAACTGTTGTATTTAAAATTTAAACATAAACATAACAATGCAATTATATTCTTTTGACTTTGCTTATATTACCGAGATCACTCTGTACTTGTATAAGCACAAAACACAGCGTTGAGATGTATAGGCATTTAATGTTTGTGTATGTATTTGGAGAGTATATAATAGTGCTTTGATAAGTGGCTAGCTAAAATACTTGAGATACGTTTTCTTAGAATAGCAAAAAAAGACTAGCTTAATATGGAAAGCTACATAAAAGAAATATTAGGCAATTATACGAAAAATTTATATGTTTCCTTACGCTGCATAGTGTTTTTATTTGAATACACTTTAGCAGCAAACGAAAACTTCAACAAAATATTTATGAAATATAGCATACTATTAGCATACTAATTTGTAGATATAAAAATAATTCTAAAATTGTAAGAATGTTAAAAAAATCTCAACGTCATTTATCTGTAGTCGTACATTGAAAATATTACACTGCTTACGAAATGTACTTTCAAACTGAATTTATATCTAGTATAAAGTAAACTAAATTCACTTTAATTACACAAACAGTTAATTTTGCTCAAATGTACACAATAAAATAATATAAAGTCAAAGTGCATACTAGCAGCACCAAAACCGCGACATAGTCAACTAATAGCACCGAGAGAAATAACGAAAAAAAATTTCTGTTGCAAATATTTTAATATAAAAGACCTCATTTTTTTAAAAGATAATCTCTCATTTAATTAATAAATTCTATAGAATAAAAATATGAAAGTCTCAAAAAAGAAAATCCCAGTAAAATACATTATGTAAGATTCAAATTATTTTGATTAAATATATATTTTTTATAAGCTAGTGCAAATTAGATTTACAAAACAGATTTGAGGTCTCAGTGGAGCAAAATAATAGACCTCCAAAGATTCTTTTACTGAAATAACTTTAAGAAATATTTTAATATAACTATCTTCGTTAATTAAATACTTAAAATATATAATGTGAATTTGGCATTTTCATGGCACATATACTTATAATTTAATGAAATAAGAAATTCTTCGACTAATTCTTTTCCAAATTCATATATATATATTGGACCAACATATAAAATTGAAACTAAAATACTTGAAATTTATTTATTAATTTATAAATTTATTAAATTTGGTCAAACTACACTGAAAACTGAAAAGGTTTAAAAGTCATATTCAAAAGTCAAAAGTCATATTATATGACGACTTACAATTTTTTGTTACTAATTAATATATTCATATATACTGCACCGCCAAATAAAATCAAAATTATTAAGTTATAACGGCGATAGTATGAATTAACTATGGTCTGTTATCCCATGGTGTCCACATTTAAAAGTCACAGCACTTGGCACTCATTTTAAACCTTGGATAAAACTTAATATACCCTTCAAAGTTAGGTCTTAAAGCTGACTAATATCCTCCAGAAACTATTTCATTGTTTAATCTACAATGTACAAGTGACAAAGTTGATGTAAAATAGTTTTTAGTCTTTCTCATATCTGTGGCTAGACTTATTGAAGAAACTGTTGAGTCACCTAAGATAGTTTACTGATCAATAGTGAACCACTAGTAACACTACATTAATAACTGATATATCTACATTAAACGATATAACTAATAAACAAAAATAATGCTTCAGCTGTCGATTTGCTTATGAAAAGGAATAAATTCTACTGCGATTTTTATGAAGTTACTTTAATACTTTTCTACTATATAATTTCCAGCGTTCATTTATTATTAAGTTATCTTTACATACATAAGACATTGTATTTTATGGTAGAGAGATTGCATATATCTAACAAATCTGTTTAAAAATGGTCAGAATATAAAATTTTTGATAGTGAATTTAAATACAATTCAGGGTAAAGTATACAGGCTAAAGTATACAGCTATATCGGTCAAACAAGATATCTTTAAACTGCTAAAAATATATTAAATGGAGACTCAATAAACTCCAAGTAAAATGAAGCTGTGACGTTGTAGTAAAAGCTGTGACAACTGGCATTTCGAGAGAAAGTCAGAATGTCTGGAATGGGAGCTTAGATCACAGGCGATGCCGTAAAAAATGTGACAAGAATTCTTATCTCCTTGCAGACAGAGACGGAAGATTATAAGATGTCATATTAATATGTTTTATATTTAATTTATTTTATTCTTATAGAACTATATTGAATAACGAAATTCAATTAAAAGCAAATGGTTGATTTTTATTGTTATGCTAATAAAATTTATGGCCTCGATTTTTACAAACTTTTATTTATTTTACTTTAAAATTTAATTAAAATTCTATTATATTACAATGTATATTCATATATTTCAAAGTTAATATATTAAATTAATATGTTACAGTAGTAAACAATAAATTACTTGAAGCTATCATTATCACCTCTCTTTAATTAGTTAAAAATGGAAATATTAATATGTAATAACTCTTAAAAACACTTAGAATTTAAGTATTCAATTAAGTTCAAGTTTATATATATATATTTTTTAAACAACCATAAGTTTGTTGTACTAATAAAAAGAAAAATATGTTTCAAATATTAAATATTTATTGGAATTTAATTACTCAAAAATTAAGTAGACTTGAAACCTGAACTTTTTATGAATTATAAACTTGAATAAACAATATAGCTAAATAAAGCAAATATTTAGTAAAAACCCAATACAATACAGAACCGAAAAATTTGACGTTTATATATAAAATTGGAATGTTTGAGTGTTTTAATTTTGGTATTGGAATCACATATGTCAAACATTTGCAACAGTAAAATTCTTAAAATGGCTAAAAATTTTAGTAAAATATTGCATATTTATAAATATATTATATAAGATCGGTCGAAATCAAGGATTTCCTATACTTTGCATATGCAGAAAAATTGGACAATTTAGTTTAGTTTCAAGAACTAGTTAAACACATTATTTTCATATAATGAACTACTTAGGTATTTTAGTTCAATAGCTTTAATACTTTGCGTAATGTATTGCTATACCAGAACTTGTTTAATGCTTGAAAAATTCAACAAAAACGCTGAAATTTTATTCATACTCAGCAAGTTTTCCGACGCAAGAAAACTGTCATCGCCATCGCAATTGCTTGTAGCAACCATGGCAGAGGACTTCTACGCGTGACTACGCGTCCATTGGTGTATTTCGAATACTAAATCAAGACTATCGAAACGAAAAATACAAAAATAATTAAAATATCCATTGAAGCATATTGAACCCAAAGTTTGGTAATACTGAAACAGAACTATGAAAATGAAAAACAAATATAAAAATATAAAAAATAGTTTACTCAACATTTGTAATTTTATATTTCATTGTTGCGACCTTCAATCTTTTTTTATTTGCTTTTCATTCTGATTTTGCTATTTTATTAACATTATTTTTAAACTTGTCAAGAATATAACTGTCCAACTTCTGCACTTTTACTTAAAATTAACTAGTGAACTACACTGAAAGAAAATAATAAGCTAATTCATTATAACATTCAATAAATGTTATAAATTATTGAAGTAGAATAAATTGCACAGTTGAAAAATCATACAAATTTTAAGCACATATATTATCTTCATTAAAAAGTCAATGAAATTATAAAAAGTACTCCAAGTAATCCATAATTTGTATCATTTTATAATAGTAGCTTCAATAGTAGCTAATCATCAATAATTGTAATTATATTCAACTAAGAGTCAAAAGTAATAAAAGCTTTTTTTCCAAATACCTCAATATAATTTTAAAAATAAGTTATTTGTAAAACATACCTTAATCTCATCATTTCCACTATCACACTGTAAGAATTAATATAAAATTAGTAATATTTATACATGCTTAATACAATAGCGATTACGTACGATATTAAATCCTTTGCCCGCAGTACTACATCTTACACCGCTCTGCAATTAAAAAACATTATATTGTTACAAATAATATAAATAAATAAATAAAAAAAATAATTCATATATAATATTTACATTTGAAATAGTTTACATTTTAACTACATTTGAACATAATAAATTGTTTTTGATTAAAAAAGGTAATTTAGAAATTAATTTCAATATTTAAAAACCATTATCATTAAAAATCAAACATTTTTGTCTTACATCAGTTAGACGATCCTTTAACTCATCCTTATGGTGTATACTTTGCACTGGGACTGAATTTATATTTCTCAAATCTGGTACTATTGCTTCACTGTTGCTCATTTTAACATCATGTGCTTGTGTATTAGGTTTCTACAAAAAATAAATAAATAATTTACATTTATATTATATTATGATATACTTCAATAACGATGTGATGACTTACATTAACTGCATAACTAGCGAAGTTCTTTGAGCCTATCGTATCAATGGCAGTTATTTTAGAGCTTTTTGCAGTATCCGGTATTACAGGTCGGATGCTTTCTACAATTGAATTAATAGAATTCAGTTGAGAATTACTTGATATACCTAAACTATTTCGTTCTTGCGGTAATGCATTTGAAATTGTAACTGGTACAGAATTTGTTACATTATTTTCTATTCCAGTAACATTTATAGAATTTTCAGTTGGGTTTAAACATTCTGTACTACTTGTTAGAGCGGAAGAACTAGTAGATCCTGGCCTTCTACATATATCAACTGACTGCATGACGGTATTACCGTTATCACCATTATTTGTGCTATTATTTTCCGTTAAAGTTACATTTTTACTTAAATTATTTTCAATGGGTACAGATCCAACAATAGAACTGCCATTGTGGTTAGTAATTGTTGCATTTGAATTACTTATATGATTATTAACATTACTGCTCATATTAGTATTTTGATTTGAGTTTGTCAAATTACTATTGTTATTATACTGGCTTTTCCAATTGATTCCAATTGAATCCGTTTCCATCGCTTGTGGTGTATTGCTATTGTTCATATTTCCCAAACGTACATTGTTTTCTTTCACATTATTGTTAATGGGACCACCTAAATTTCTTATTGGATGTGGTTGGCCTGTATCAATGATCTTTGGCATTTTAGTCTCTTCAATGCTATATGTGCATGTCAGTTCTTCCAGTGCCGATAAACGTTTCTCTTTGCGTTTTTGTCCCAGCTTAATTGCAAACTATAAAATTCATTATAAAAATAATTATTTTTGTTTTAATATAGAAAGGATTTAATATATTAACTACCCAAATATATCTAGAGTAATTAATTTGTGTAATAAGCAAAATTTTGATATTATAAAATATACTCACTTCTAAGTCTTCGTATGTTTTAAATTCAAGTATTGCAAAGCCGTCAATTATTTCTTCTTCTAACACTGGTGAACGTGGCAATTTCCTCCGTACAGGGGGTGGAGGACGTGGTGGAGGTTTATCACGTGGCAGAAGTAATGTTGACGATGATGATGTAGACAGAAGATCTTCATCAAGTGACTCACCTTCACTATCACTTGGCGAAGCCATTAAACCTGAATGGCATTCTGGAGAGTGGGGAGGATTTAGAAGTAATGAAGCAATACTGTCTGTTGGAGGTAAAACATTATTGCTGCCATTACTACTACTCGTAAAGTTTCCATTGGAATTGTTGCTATCCTCGCCCATGCTTCCAGCGCTATTGGCGTGATATAGCAGCCCAGTGGCTGTGGTGGTAGTGGTGCAGCGGTTATCACGTTCTGCCTGCAGACGCTGAGCACGTTCACGGCGTCGTTTTTGCTGCCGTTGCTGCTTAGCGTTCAGGCTTAAATTGTTGCTGTTACTACCGCCATTACCACCACCACCAATGTGACCATTGGTTTGCGTTGATTCAGTTGAACCTGTAACAGCCGCAGCTGCCGCCGCTGCTGCTGCTGCTGCTGCCGCTGAAGCTGCAACTATTGAAAGTTCTGTGTCAGAATCAAAATCAGTAGCTGGTGGCGGAGGTAATTGTTGCGAGTGTTGTGCATTATTGAAAAACGTGCTGTTGTTATCACTTCCTACCATTGAACTACTAACAGGCATACTCAAATGAGTTCCATTACTGATATTCAACTGTGGAGTGGGAGGCGGAAGATTCAAATGTTCACTTACTACTTGCTGTGACGAAGATTGTGTATGTATTGGACGTGATCCAGGTGATTTTAATTCATGTGAATCCATAATTTATTATAAAAGAAGCTAAGACTTCCTAATATACTAGAATCATTTTTTTTAATTGTTCCATTATTTCACTAGCAGTTTTAAACTATAAAGCAATGCTGTTGATACACTAGTGCAAAATCGATGAATTTTACGACGTTGCACACAACAAACATAACACGTTTCAACTAATAAATTTTTTTATATTTATATATAATATTAATTTTTAAATTATTTCACTTATAATTCACTTTTTATTTAATTTATTTGTGAAGCACTCCTCCATCATTTTTAGTTTTTGCTTTTCTCTGCTCTCCTTGTGGCAGATCAATCGCCTTGTGACCAATTCGTCAAAAGTTCTTAATTCCTTATTTATTTTTTCACACATTTAATCGATGTATCTATATTTTCCGACATAAAAAATCTCACTTATATTCACATTAAATATTTAATAGTTAAAAACTTTTATACAAGATATATCAGAAAATTCATAATTTTCGTTTAGTCTTGTTGGTTTTTGGTTTATTAATATTTTTCATTTTCTTTGATATTCCACTTTTGTATTTCTACATGTTTTTCGTACTATCTCTTTTTGTTTTAAACAAAATTATTTTTTCTAATTTATTTCGAAAATTATATAGCTGTTTCACTTACACAATAATAATATGTAATGGAATAGACAAAAACATGGAAGCCGGTGTGAGAAGTAGGTTGAAAATTGTAAAAATATTTACGGGCGCAATGTTTGAACAAATTTCAGCTATTATCATTAGTTTACAAGATTTTTATAGAATTTATACTTATTTGCAATATCAATAACACATTTTTTCTTAATTGATTAGGATATATTGTTAATATTGAAATTACAAATAAATATTACAAAATTTTAAAATTAATTTATTATTTATTTTAAAATATACTCAAAAACATGATAAAAAATTTTAAACTTATATAAATCATATATACAACTTTAACTGAAAAATATTACAATTAATTTTATGATATTGTAACGTAATAATTTAAAAATTGTGCAGATAAAATGTATGTATTTATTTAATTTTTAAATCGTTTTTAGTATAAATTGTTCAAGAACATATAAACAGCTATTTATACTATATGAACTAAAATTACTTGAGTACTGTGATGTGCACCCTGCTTATTTTGCTTACACTCGATGGAACATTGATATAATAAATAGATTTCATATAATTATATACAAGTAGCGTCAGTTACATAAAATAAATTTTGGGCTGTTTATAATTTTACATATATATTAATTGTTTATATTACTAAAAAAAATTAAATAATTTATTATAAAGTATGTAGAAATGGGTTGTTTTTTATCATTTCTCTTTTGCAATATTTATCTAAAATATATCTGTCTTGTTTTACCTCGTCGCAATAGTACTATTTTTTATAACTACACACTCTGTACTTTAATTTATTTCGTTTAAGTACTCTATTTGTGTCTTTCACACTTTAATCACATATTTGTATGAACTTATTTTTAAGAAAAAGACAAATAGAAAATATGGCAACGAAGGAATATTCTTTTGGTAAAATAAATACGAAATGAAAGATTTTTATTACAATAACTTCCACGTTATTAAATATATATCACAGACATATCTTAAAAAAAATATGTTAATGTAAAATTTTCGATATATATAAATATTTTAACATGCTAAAATGCGATTAAAACGTTATTACTTATATTTATAGAGATGACATTTATTTACATTTTTCGATTAGTATCATATCCGATAACTTGAACTAAATTTTGCAATATTTGTTTATATAAACAATTTTATCTGATTGATGTTAAATATAATATAAATTTAAAAAATAAATTGTGATTGTTTTTATTTTATTACTTAATAATTCTCTGAATGGGAAAATCGACAAAAAAAATACTAGAATAAAAAGCAAACATCAGCAATTGTGATTTGTTTAAATAGCCCTTACCTAAAAAAATATTATAAAAAACAAAATAAATGTTCACATTCAATAACATTAGTGAATCTATATGTTAAAATAATGCAAATTAATTAAAATGTTAATTATGATGAATCAAAATAATTATTTATTTATATAAAACGATTAAACTATATAATTTATATAGTTAATAATTCTTATATGCATCCGACTATACATTTTCAATCGCACAATAATAAAGTATATATTTAATACTTAATACAATACTTAATAATACTTAATACTTAATAAAAATTGGCAACACTGATATTTGAAAAGTGTCAAGTGGGCGCAAAATATATAAGAGCGGCTAGTTCGTCGTAAATAAAGAAATATATTTTTCATAGCTGATTGGGTTAAAATAAACTTATGTATATATGTTTTAAACAGAGCTATGAGCGGTCGAAAAGTATGTAGATTATTTTATATTTGTTTTTTATTACAATAATTTTTTTGTCAGAAAACATGGATTAAGTCGGCATTTAGTGAAGTAGTAAACAAAAAGTCAAAATCTTTTGAACATCCGCCAGCAGAAAAAGAAGCAAACTCAAATGATTCACCTAATCAGAGTCAAATTATGAAACAGTTAAGTTCTGAAAACGTTAAAGTTCCAGCTTTAAATTCTTCAAATTGGATTGAGCATTTCGCTCCTAATACTTCCGAAGATTTAGCAGTACATGCAAATAAAATATCAGATATTCAAAATTGGCTACAATTCTGCAGCACAATTAAAAAAAAGAATCCCGTACAAATATGTTTACTTACTGGACCCACTGGTTCTGGAAAAACAGCTGCAATAAAAGTGCTTTGTAAAAAAAATCAATACCAACTGCACGAATGGATAAATCCAGTCGATCAAGACTTTTATTGTGAAGACGGCAACACATATGGAGTATCTCAATTAGATGCTTTTAAGGATTTTTTATTACGTGCTTCGCGTTATAAATCTCTAACTGATCAATTTAATAAAAGATTGTTATTGGTAGAAGATTTTCCTAATGTTTTAATTTCAAACTCCGAAGCATTTGTATCAATTTTAGAGTAATATAAATGTTGATAAATTTTTGGTTCATTTTAATTAAATACAATTATCTTGTAGACAATATTCAAGTTATGGCAAATCTCCACTTATATTTATTGTAGCTGATTCAAAGTCTCGAAGTTTAAATATAAGCTATAACCTTTTCTCAGATGAAATTAAATCTAAATTCAGCATAAATCATATAAATTTTAATCCAATTGCTGCAACATTTATGAAAAAAGCGATGAAAAGATTTTGTAAAATTATGAAAGAGATACCATTTGTGGATAAGTATAAAGTACCCAGTGAAACTGTGATAGACTCAATTATTGTATCTGCCCAAGGTGATATACGTAATGCACTAGTAAATTTACATTTTTCATCACTAAAAGGTAAGTTACTTTTAATTCTACGAATTTATTTTTAATCATGTATTAATATTCAGTTACGACCTTATTAGTCTTTGTGGTATATAAATAATTAATGATAAGATAGCGTGTATTACAGATGTAAATAAAGAAAATTATAAAGAATTATACTCATATAATATATTAAATCTTAATATTATAAAAATTTAATTGTTATAATTTATGGTAGGTAGCCCCAACGTAGTTACACAGCAAATTTCAAATGATAAAAATAAAAAGAAAAAATATATGCTAAAGTCTATAGGCCGAGATGAGTCTACCACAATGTTCCATGCTTTAGGAAGAGTTTTTAATCCAAAATGTAAGTATTATATTATTATTTTTTACCATTAAATTTTAAATTTATCTTGCAATTATATAATATTAAATATAGTTACTGATGAGCAAAAGCTTCTACATAATCCTGAAGAAATTTCCGAATGTTTTTCAACTGATCCGAGGAAAATGTTGGATTTTATACACGCAAATTTTTGTTTACATTTTAAGAGCATAGACCATTTAGTAACAGCCACAAATGGAATAAGCCTGGCAGACGTTATAGTAAATGAATATCGTGATACTTCGTTAGCTCAACTTGCTGTTAACGTTGGTGTTCGTAGCGTTATGGTGGCAAATAGTACGCCTGCAAATGGATGGATGCCAATTCGAGGAGCAAAAAAATTAAATAATTCCCCTTTTCATTTAGATGATAAACAAAGTGAGATGTTAGGAACTATAAAATATATATCTAAGGCATTATATGCCACTGATTTTCACACTTATATTAAATTCTTGCAAAGTAAAAATTAAACAGTTTAATGTATTGGTTTATTGAAACAATTACAATAAAATCGACATTCACTATATATATAATGTTTCATAAAAATGTTCTGTGAAATTTTTTTAATCTAATTTAAATAAATTGTGTAACGACTAGAAAATGCAAAAGCAAAACAATTATAAAATAAGTTTACGGTCAAGGCATATTACTAATGTACATACAAATATCTATAAGTATACAAATATAATAATAGTAATCAAATGCATCTTTCAGTGATAAAATTTAATTTCTACATTAACACAGCCTTGACTAATTCGTTTTATTTTAATAAAATTAATAGTTGAAAATGAATAATAATTTGCAAACAAATTTTCAAAATTTTTTCATTTCTATTTGTAACAATAGAAATATAAATAACAATTAATTAAGCATACTTAATCTTAATAAAAGCACGAAAGAGGAAGTTAACGCATTTGTCTTTGTGGACTCCGATCATAAAATAACAAATAAGCTGGTACACTTAAAACCTCTTCAATAGTGACTTCTCGTACTATCGTATCGGAAGTATAAAACCATCTAAAAATGAAACTGTAATCATAAAACATACATTTTAATTAAAAAGGAATTACAAACCTATGAGCGTTTCTTAATGCTCCGCGACGATAAGTAACAAAATGTCCAGTGTTTGCTTCTCCAGAATGTACTACAACAGCTAGAAGTCTATATAAATTCCTAGGAAACATTGTGCCGAATGCTCCAATATTTTCATTAAAACCAGCAAAGTTGTTTGTTGGTAAACTTGATGAAAATAATGAAAGAGTTGATCCCCAAGGTGTTCCAGCCTGAAAATATTACATTATAATTTATATAATTATGTGCAGTTGTAAAATAATAGACAACCTGGCTGTTCAAATGCGGTTGTACAAAACTATATGGAGCCATAGATAAACTTTCAGGAAAATGTACGTAATCTTGACGTTTACAAATTTGCCCAGTTGGTAGCCAAATGGTACGTGCAATGTGTATACAAATGCAAGCTGGTAGTTTTGCAAATGTAATAGATTTGGTATGATTTGTTGTTTCATTACAAGACTCGCAATTTACATCGGTAAGATCTTCAGACGTTATGTATTCACTAAGTAAATGACCCAAACTTAAACTACCGCGACTATTTGTTGGGAGATTTAATGTGACACTATCGAATTTATCATATCGAACAGCAGACTAAGATGTTAAAAATAGTTAATGAGAACTTTAGATGTAAATAAAAATTATATATTTCACCTTAAATCCACAGCCATTACAAACAATTTGATTGCCCATAGCTCCTTGAAATGGGTGAGGTATTTGATTAGGCAGCTGATCGTTCCATATCTGCAAAGGAATACATATAGATTTAGTGCAACTTTTCAATAACTTTATATTTGATATATATTTTACTTACAGAAACTCTGCCTGGACCCCTACTTAATCTTTCTAATGACCTGCAGGATGTCGAAACTTTTTTATTAAGTCCTTCCATAACTTGCGATTGAGAGAATCGATTACGGTGTGTAAGACCATCGTCTTCGTGAATAGAAGACGACAGTTCCATTTCTAATGAATCCAAAGCAGTTCTTCCACTACCACGCACTTCATGCTCACATACAGAAGCAGGAGAGTCTGGTGTATGTGCTTCTGACCTTACTAATCTATTAAGACTTGTCGATTCATCATAATCGGTATTCAAGAAGTCAGAAAGCATGGCACTAGATGGGCGATTTGTATGTTCGCCAATACGTGCTTTATCAGGCAAAGCATCTGATAAGCAACCAACTTTTTTCGGATGCATGACTTCCTCTTCCAGAGATGCTAACATTACATGAAATAGTTCATGTGCATCATGCTCCTCTTGTGGAATGACCCAACCAAGCGCATTTAAAGCACGAATAATTGTACCAGGTGAATAAGGATCACCTCTTAAAGTAGAATGTGTACCATTTATGATTTCTAAAGTGTTTAGTAGTGCAGAATTAAGACTTTTACGATCCGTTGAATTGCCATTGTAAAGTTGTAGCCATGCTATAAATTGTGGACAAGCGGCCAGCGCTTGAAGTAAAGTGTTCAAAAAACAGGTTTGTCCGAAATTGTGTAATCCAGCAATTTGTCCACGCCTTTGTCGTAATCTAGATGAACCTTTACATATAAAATGTAATTTAATATGAATATTCTAACAAATATGTACTTAGTACTCTTCAAAGTCATTTAAATACCTGATGGACCCCAAAAAACAAATGCACCAACTACAGCAGCAACTGTAACTCCAGCAGCCATCAATATTTTTTCGCCTTCCATTTTATTATAACTGTGTTTTTTATTTTACATTTTTTATATTATTCTGTACTGCCAAAACGAATAGATCTATTACTGTAATAAAAAATTTGTATACATGAGAATGAAATATTTTATAAAAAGGTTAGGTCAAAAGGAACACAAATTATTGTCCCTAGAATAAATAAAATATAATATTTGTTATACTTTACACACATAATACTTATTAATTTTTTAGAATAACATCCTGAAATTAATACAACTCTATTTAATTCAACAATTACACCTACTTTCAATTGAACTTGTGCATAAAAATTATCTATAAGAAATGCAGTAAGGAACGGTGATTATTGATACAAACCATGCTGCCAATGAAATTATATTTTTTTATAAAAATTAAAATAACTTGATATACATTAGTAGCAGTATTTTTATACCAACTACAATCTATACCATGCATAATAGTATAGATATACACTAATCTCTATTTATATGTATATATGACATAGATAATAATATAAGTGTATATATAGAATTAACTACGACAATTCAATTAGCTAACAATACTACAAAATAAAACAGAATTGAAAGTATCACAAATAATTTTGAGTTAAGAATTAATATATTAAATTTAACCTATTATAATAATAAATAATATAAAATTAAACTCCATTTCTAAAAAATTTTTTATATTATTATTATTAATTATGGTACAGTTGTGCATGCATCACCATCTAGAAGATATAATCATAGAATGTATATTCATAAATTTATCCAACAGATATAATAATAATATATCTACTAGGCGACATTTTCTCACCAACTGTAGCAATCCTAGACTATTTACAATTCTAAATATTGCTGTGAAATTGATTATATTTGTTTTTTTTTTAAGCTACAAGAAATATACAAGCACATATTAAGGGCTATTTGGCTTTTTCACCTGCTGTATGCCTTCTCGAGATTTCCAGTAGTCTGGAAATCTCAAAAAAATATTTTTTGTGTTTTTTTGTTTGAAATGTGCTATACAACTTTAGATTCACTTTTCTTTTATCAAAACTTGCACATAAGATTGCTGCATGTAAATGTTTTAAGATAGTATTCTCTAACAAAATTCTATTAAAAGATAAATACGTTTTCATTTTCAACATTTTTAAATGGATTTTGCCTGTATATTCCTTAAAATGTGATAGTATAAACATACTATAAACTCCAATATAGAAACAAAATCAGCTATATAAATAGATCCGTTCTGTTACAAAAACTAAGTTGTTTCTATATGTAGATCCTTTACAGTGGTGAATATATTAAATTTTCAAAATGTGTTATATACTACAAAAATAAACAGGGCTGCTATATACTATTTGCAGGCTGGATTATCAAATTTACTCCATCTCTTCAATACATAAAAATTTTGCACTGTCTTTCGTCAATAAAAAGGATTAAGTATCATGCAAAGCACATATCATTTATATATAATTTTCCACTATTAAAAAACGACTGAAAAAGATATTGATCCCGTAATTTGACTACTTTTAAAGTTTTAATTATCAAACCAATGGTGTAACTCTGTTACATGTTATACTATTTTAGACTATTGTAGTTTACTTCACAAATATGCAGTCATTTTTCATACAAAATCCATATATAAATAAACTAAAGCATGATAGTGTATAGTCAAGTATGCATACCAAATTTCGGTCAGCAGACACGTATTTGGTAAAATTACACCTTGTTCCAAAGTGTATAGCAATGCTCATACTTGGTCTGCAAACATATAGTATCGTCTATATCATGCTTAATATACTAATATTCGATAATTCTTCAGTGTAAACATATTATAAAATATTTTTTTCTCTTTTATTAATTTTTTTAATGGTATAAAAAGAATCGCTTAACAACCCTGGATTATATAAATTTACTTGATAAATATGAGGTGAATATATATTCGCAATATATTTTTTTTTTTAGTAAAACAGAATGGCAGAACAGTTGAACAACATATGAGGAAATAGTTATGGAAAGTTTAGATTTAATGTAAATGTATTAAGAAAAGCATATACAAAATTATTTTAAGTGATAACAGCAAAACACAAATTGGAACGATAATATAAAAATGGTAACGTTATAAAAGTAGGGGGTGGGTGGGGTTTTTGGCGATAACTTCTTTAACAGCCATTTTTAGTCTTCCTCTCTGCAGCTCGTTCAAACATTATTAGACGAATTTTATCAACATTCAACCTCAAACGTAAGAAGGCGAGAAATAGAATCACAATTGATAAATTTTAAGTGTCAGCCGGAAGCTTGGCAATTGTGTCTGCATGTAGCAACCTCTATTGAAAGTAATCAGTTTTTATGGGTATTTTGTACATCAACTCTGGAACATACAGTAACCCGTCGTTGGAATCAATTACATACTAGTGACCGTACATTACTTCGTGAAACTCTATGGAATACATACATAAATTTTTCATTAAGCTGCCCCAGAAGGCAACGAGAAACTTTTGCACAACTTATTGCTCTAATGGGAAAACACGGTAAGTAAAATATGATTCATAATCAAATGTATTAAATGCGAATGTTTTAACAGAGTTTCCAGACGAGCACCCGAATTATATTATGAACTGCATCGAATTAATAAAAACAAAATTTCCTCTCGGCATTTCGCTGTTGCGTTCTACATCGGAAGAAGTAATGAATAACAGAGAAAATATTTCAACAGATCGAAAAAATTATTTTCATTCCTGGTAAGCTATTTGTTAACATGTTATAAAAGAAACAACACTAAAATTGAGTAAAATGTTACCCTGCACAAAAATTAGTATATCCCTGTGTATTCCCGATGTGGTGGATCTACTCACAAAGTATTTAATAATTGCTGTTTGTCATGTTAATGAAAAAAATATTCATTCCATACCTAATAACATTTTGGATTATACATTAATTACATCGCTGCCGAACGACAATCAATTAAGGTAAAAATTGGTTCAATATACATTTTCTTAATTTTAAAATTTTCATATAGTTCTTCAATTCTGGAGTTACTCACATGTGTACAACATTTGGTCTCCTGGATATCAACCGATCTGATCTCGGAATATTTATTAATGAGTATATTAGATTTATCACAATGGAGAGTGCACCATCAATCTGTTTCGCTAGCTGGTTTAGCGGTTTTAAACGAACTGCTATATTTGCAAAAATCATTACCCCATACAAAAACCTTAATGACTGGAATAAATGGGTTGCTTGAGCAGCACAATACTACGAAATTACAAAGTGAAATGTATATAGATAAGTTTAGAGAGCTGTTACGCTTATACACAATCAAATATTGGCCGAAGATGATAGAAGATAATGATATTTTGGAACCTTTTCTAAAATCTTTGTATTGCTGCACAATTTCCAGTTAGTATCTTTATATCATATTCTATATCATTTATTGTGAAAATAATTTTAATTAAACAGGAAATGGCGCGTTGGATTTTACTGAAAAGTTGGAAATATGGACACCAATTATAAAGGGCTTAGTATTAAATAAAAAGCTATGTCGATATAATGATATCATGAATTCACTAATAGGGGAAATTTTGTGTCGTATACAATTTGAATATAATAAAGCGGAATTGGAACTGTTGGATAATGAAAACTTAGAAGACAATGTATGTATATTATTTATTTACATTTACTTTGTTTTTATAAAAGCACTTGTTGTTTATATATTTTTGTTTTTACATGTTATAACATTACTTAAAAGTTTTTATAATAATGTAATTCTCACTTTTAGGTTCAAACAGAATGGCAACAGTATTCCACATCTGCAATAGAAACTATTGCACTCATTGGTGAATCCCGCCCATGTGAATGTTTTGTTTTAGCATTTACACATTGGTCGAGACCATACGGTTTCCTATTGTCCATCGAAAATGATATCGATAGTGGGAAAACAGTCGACTTAACGCGGAAAATAAAATGCCAAAGTTTTAGTGAAAGTTTACGTGATTTCTCTACAATGTGTCAGGCTGTGGTCAGAATAACACCTTTATTAGGTTCCGCTGATATGAATTCTGAAATGAACAACAATTTACAGCTTTTAACAAAAAATCTATTAACGATTTTAAAATTTTTATCAAGTAATAAACTTTCTAATTTAAATGTGGATAGATCAACATTTCAGACTGATTTAGATTATTTGTAAGTATTGTAACTCTTAGAATGCATATATACATTTACAATTACTTACTTAAATTTTTATTTACTTTAGATATGCTCAAGTTTTAATGGCCATACGTAGTATTTTAACAGTATCAAATTTATTGCGAACAGGGGATATACTTAATAATCTATTTGGTACAATTGGTGGCATTTTTTTACCCTCAAATTCACTGCTATCGCCAATTATTTATATGGCAGCAAGTAAGTTCAATTCGTAACAGTTACTAATTTTTAAAGTTCATTTATTTATTGTTAGTTAACTTTAATTTAATTTATTATTTTATTTTATAAAGATATTAACATATATTTTATTATATTATTAGGTCAATTGCTTTTATGCCTTACAACTGTGATAAGACCAAAAACTCTATTAGAGATACCAACAATTATAAACATTATGCAAGCAGGTTCGAAACTAACACATCTGCCAAGGCAAGTCATTGCCAATATTTACATAAGCCTGATAAGCTACCTTGTGCTGCCATGGAAAGAAGTTAATGATCAGCAACAAGATTTTCCACGTCGTTGTGCTTTGTTGCAAGAATATGTTCAATGTCTAGCTCAATATTTCCTTGAATTAGAAATAAATACAGAATCAAAAATATCATCAATAACCCTAAGTTCATTAAGTATATTTAGCATCGTCATAGAATATTTTCAAGATTGTAATAATATATCAAAAGATATGTTAGCAACTGCATTTAAGGTATTTAATATTTTGATACTATAAAAGTTTTAGTATAACAACAATTTATTTACAGCCATTAATAACAAAAGCTTTAATTATTTACAATAATTTTGGAACGACCTGTAATGCTGTTGCGATTAGTGTTGCTGAATTTAGTTTGAGTACTTTACGTACATTACAAACACAGCTAGGGACGCAATTTATCAAAGATATGATAACGTTATTTATTGGTGTTAGTAGTCGGTAAGTTATAAATTTTAGAAATTTTAATTTAATCATAAAATTATAACGTATTAACGTCATTAAAAAAATGTGTGAATTTCTCTTACAATATAAATCTTTCCATTTTATTAGGTTTGAACCAAATATTAATTTATAATTGAAATTTTTCATTTGTTTGAAATAATTAGAATTATTAAGAATCATATATGTCATATATGTAATCATATATGTAAAATGATTTTTGTAAAACATACCGGTTGCAATACATTATAAAACCAAGACATAATTCCAAGTTATAGGGTACTATACCTAAAAACTTGGAGCATTATGCCTAGTTCTTAAAATATCGACTTTAAATTAATTTGTCTGTGAATTTAAATTTATAGTTAATTATAAAATTCAATAAAAATAATTGTATACTCTTTTATTGTATCAAATTAAGGGAACATTCAAATATAAGTAGATTAGTGGTTGTGGAGAAGATCTTGCAAATGTTCCAATTGATTGTTGAACAACATGGCAATGGTTCAATGTCGATGATGCCGTCAATTTTAGACTTTACAATCGAACATATACTGCCATTGATCCAGCATGAAAATAATGTAACTGATAATTCGGACATATCAAGTACAGTGTACAATCTATTCAACAGGTACGTACAATAATTTTTTTCTTTTGTTAATTTTCTCTAATTTCTTATTTTATTTAAAACCTTTTCTTATTTTTAGCATATTGACACATAAATGGCAGTACTTTTATAAATCACACGCTTATAACAATGCAAATACGCTACAAATGAATACTGGGAACTTACATCCAGAACACTTTCTAGCAATATTAAATGCTTATGGTCAGATACTTTTAACTGGGAATGATCCGAATGTAGTACGCATTATTTTAGAATCACTACATAGCGTTAACGAACGATGGCGATTATACCAAAAGGCACTATTCAGAGATAATCTTTTGACTTCGTTCCAAACTGCATTAATTAAGGTCCTACTTTCAGCTGAAGGTCCACTACATTTTGATTTATTAGCAACGTCGTTGTTTAATATGGGTCAAGTTGATACTTTAAAATTACGTGATAGTTTTGCAAATGCTGGTTTACCGATTAATTCAAAAATAATAGACGAAATTTGTTTATCAACCGTAAGTGTTTGTTTTTATTGTATACATATAACACAACATATTATTTTTGTACAAACTGTTACAAAATATTTTATATATATTCTTTTTTTTTACTTATTGTAACAGGACATTCCAACGTTTTCTCAAAAATTATCTCAATTGATACAGGATGCGCATTGTGTACATCTAACGCAAACATAAAGCTACATTTTACGAGCATAGGAGATTTAAGTTATTTTAAGCGCTTTTATAAGTTTTATGTATATTTTAATGTAATTCTATGTTCAACTAACGTGAAATCGTTAGCTTTTAAGGTACTTAGACGTATGCTTATTTGTTAAACAACATTGATTTTTGTTTTTATTTATTTTAATTCAGTTAATTTTAGCTTGTTTTGAAGTATTTTTTTTTTTGTTTATTAACTTTCATAAACGTAAGTGAGTTCATATTCATTACATTATTATTAAGAACTGAATAGAGCTTTAGTGTATTCATTCACTGAAATTAAAAAATTTGGTTTCATGATATCAAGTACATGGATGTGCGAATTAAAATATAACGTCAATTTTTTTTCATAAATATTAAATTATGTATAAATTGTTTTTATATTTTATATTACTTTTTAATTTGCAAAGAAACAAAAAAAAAAAACTTACAATTTTAAGTTAAATGTTTTCGCATCATTCGTCGTCAAATAAAATTATTTATTACTTTACCATATGAGACATATAAAGACATAACATAATATAAACTGTATTTTTATATATTTTAAGAGATTCGGCAAATGATTTGACTGAATATTAACTATGTTTAGCATAAAAATAAAATGAACTGTAAAACAATATAATTAGATTTTTAAATTATGAAGTATGTATAAGATTTTGTTAATCAATATTTGCCATATATCTTTTAATGTGAATTGTGCATTAAAAAAAAGTAATAAAGTCAGTCACTATTTTATATACCATTTTTATTAATTTGTTAATAGAGTTTCATTTAAATATTTTAATATTTAACTAAGTAAAGGTCTGAAAAATCAAATTTTTGCAACGATTTTGATAAAATATTAAATTAAGATAAAACAAAAACATCTAAATGAAAATATATTAGATAAACTATAAAATTTGTTTTATAATATAGCAGTATCACTAATAAATCACCAATTTAGTTTAAAACTGATTATTGTAAATTTTTTGTTTTTGTAAGTGGAAAGAATAAAAAATAAAAAAATATTTAAATATAAAAAAAAATAATAATTGAAACCAAAACTATATAAAAATATAATATGCAAACTCTTTGACTAAAGTGATTTGAATTTTTTTTTATATATTTTCCAATTAAAAATATCTGTTAAAGAAAAAGAAAAACAAAAACAATTTACATTATCAAAATTTTATAACATATGTCAATACACTTTTATTAAGAAACCATTGTACACCCTGAGATGCACTAACATTTTTCTATATAAAATTTTTTTATGACCAATGTATTTGTGTGGAGAATGTGCATTTATATGAAATGTATAAACGGTATGCTGAGTAAGAAATATATATATATAAATATATTATTTTTTTAATTTATTAAGTGTTTCTTTGTATCAAAACATTTAAATATATATATATTGTATACAATATTAAAGCCAACAGTGTATTTTATGTGTATACTCTTTTGAATCCTGAATTTAATTTTATTAGATTCAATATAATATATTTTCTTTAAAAGAGCTTTGTAATTCCCTGTAGAGTAACTTCATTCTCTTCGTAAACATGTAAAAGTTTAGTTTTTTTATTAACATACATACATTTTAAAAAATTTTGTACAACAACTACCAACGACCATCAACCATTGAACCATTAATAATATAAATTTTTTTATTTAACAATTAGCATAATTTGAAGTTTTAAGTTTAAGGGAGATTCACAGTATAACTTGAGCGCAATAAAAAAATTCTAATACTTAAAACTATCCAAATCATCACATTTTTAATATAATGAATTAGTTTAGTTAGTTTTTAATTTATTTTCAAAGCATTTGTTTTGAATTATATTTGTATATAATTTTTTGGTGCCGAAAAGACGCGTTTAAATAGTTTTTATTACATTTTTAACATTTGTTATTTAGTTAATTCCTTAATAGTAAAATTTTTTGGTTTAAATATAATTTTATTAGTTCTTTTAAAAATTTTTTTAAGTTACAGCACTTTTTTTAAAACTGCAATTTTCAAAATTTCATTAGTAATTTATGATTTATAATAATTGCTTAATAACTACTATAGAGTCAATTTTCTGCCTAATAATAAACTGTAACTAATAAAAATCAAATTAATCATTAATATTCATGATATTCGGTTCAATACTATTAATTATTTTGTTATCAACTATGTTAGTTGACACAGATTATGACTCTTGAAAAAATGAATTTTATATTTAATAAATAGTGTATATAAGCCGGTTTAAAACAAGCTTCGATAAGAGAAAACAACTTTATATAATGATTCGCATTCTTCATTGTATATATGCCTATTTTTGTAATGTCATTATTCAGAACTGTAAGTTAATATAAAAATATTTCTGATAATACATATAATAAAAACGACTGTGTGCAAACATATTTAAAGGTACGTATATGCGCTTATGGTTTCAAGAATATTTACGTTAAAATTTTGAAGATACAAGATATTTTCTTTATGCTTTTATGCACCTGGATTTTTACAACGAAGAACACTTTATATATCATCCATATATATAAAGTGTTATTTGTAAAGTGTAAATCATAGTATTGAAATGAAAACTATAATAAGAATAAGTAACAATATTTATTGTCTCAATGTGAACAGTGTTTGATTCTTTATTTGTGATATTTTAAGAATTGGTAGTAGTTTGTGCCATTATAATATTAGCAATATTTGCATAATAACAAAAAAAAAATGAAAATTTTTAATTTTCAAAAACAACAACAATGCATTTTCGACATCGATTTTGACTTAACTGTTCGAAGGAATATGTAAAAAATTAATAATCGTTGTGCTGGCAAATTTCGTTTCAAAACAAAATAAGTTACAAATTTAACGTATATATTAAATATTTAATAATCTCTTATATTTTATTTAATTTGCATACATAATATATATGTAATGACTAACAAATATAAACATTATACAATAGCAAACAATATTAGCTAATTTTAATTTTTTTATTTATTCTCTATATTCAATTAAATTGAATAATATAACAAAAACAATTAAAAATATATATTAAAATGCAGGTATAAATTGGTGGCACAGCCACATCATCTTTCATGATTACATTTATTGTTTCATGCTATTTCGATAACATAATGCATCCATCATTGTTAATTGCTGCAATTAATGGTGCATATGAAAATTTACAACATATTTTAAACATATATTTTTAAATTTAAATTTAATAGACATACATATATAGACAAAGTGATCAAATCATTGTTGACAAAAATATTTTATAATTATATTTTATAAATTATTTACATACAAATTTTCTTACAAAGATTTTAATTTTAAAAATGTTCACATTTACAGCTAAATAGTTTCACACAGATAATTGAGTTACTAAACACATAAATGCTATGTAAACAACTAAAACACAATGTATGTAGTTTTATTTAATTTAGTATGTGATATAGTAAAAATATAAAGTGAATCTTTGATTCACTACTAATCTACAAATTAAAATATAATTCAACTATAATTTTTATTTTTTATATATATATTTATGGGGTTATATACCAAATACAAAAAAATTTGCACTTTGCATTGCATTGCACATTGCATTTACAAAAAGTAATTATATATATATATATATTTATATAATATATATTTTTCACATATATATATTTTTTTATAATAAAAACTTATCAAGTTCCGAAGTTTTGAAACTGAGTTGTTTCCATGCTGGCATATCACATTACTTAACTTCATCCTGGTCCATAGGTTCTTCTGAGTTATCACGTGAGAGTGTTCTATAATAAATAAAAATTAGTAGTATTATTTAGTTAGTTCTTGTTACTACTCATAATTCTAAAATTTGTCATACATAACATAATATAAATGGTACATGAAAACTTAGGTTTATATATAGACATTTTTTAGAATACTTTTTGTCCTAATTAAGTTTTAGAATATATATATATGTCTGTTAATTCTAATTTTTTAATTGAATATTTAAATTTGTAAAGCACATATATTTTACAACACACACTAAAAATTAAGGTTGGAAACATAAATATAAAGATTGGACATAATGTCGCTAAAATCTACAATCCATATAAACTTTTTATATGTTTATATGTTTTTACTTTGAATGAGGGAGTCGTGCCTATTAGCGCTCTTCGTATGCTGACCATTGCGGTCCTTTTAAGGATCCTTCCGATCTGCGTATGGACACGGCAGTTCGTGCTATCACAACAGACTATTATTTAAGCTAAATTGGACTATAGTGAAAAGGCAATCACACAAACCTAACCTTGACTGTATTGGAGATTTCGTATTAGGGTTACTCAATTTATGATGTCTTCTTGATTAATAGTGTTTTTAAATTAGTTTTGCAATAATATCTATTGAATTTTTTAGTATTTATTATTGTAAAAAATCTCGATAATCTCACATTTAATGTTCAAAATCACAGTAGAATTAACTTAGAAAGCAGTGATTGTCTTTGCAATATTAGCTGTGATAAATCTGAAATTTTTAATAATGATATGAAAATATTTTAATTATATTCAAAAAAATTCATTGGGTGATCGTATTGTTGTCTCACATATTTTCTTCACATAAATCGATGGTTTATGTATTAATAAAATAAATAATAAATGGTCCTCAATACTTATTTTAGATCACAGAAAAAAATGAATGCAGTATCTAAATTATTATTCGTTTCAATCACAATTTGTTTCTGTTTGTGAAATTGAATTTGTATTTAATAAGTAAAAGGAAAAGTTTATTGAAAGCTTATTCTACCTATGCATTGAAAGTCCTGCCATTGCTGTTACCGTTGCTGACTCATCATGTTCGATCTTAAGCACCTCAATTGCAGACATACCAACAGTATCTGAGAGTCTGCGCACACAGGGCCAATGTTGTAGCTTTAAATAAATAGAAAAAAATTAATAGAATAGTAATTATCTATTACAAAATATTTTAAAGCTAACAAGAAGGTTGTAGAATTTTTCAAAACAAAATCATTTATATAATTCATATTCATATTGTTAAATGATCTAATATTTTTTTTACTCTAAGATAATATTATTTAACCTTCTGTTTGTATTGTTTAAGTTATAAATTTTACCTGTATTGCAATCGTTTTTTGTAGAGTATCGATGGCATTCTGGCATGGTCGTCTATTTAACTCACTTTCAACTATTGGAATGAGTGGATCACCCAGTAATGCACGTACACATTCCTGTGCCGAATCACAAATTGCAGGTAAATCATAACCACCTTCAAGTGCTAATACAACTTTTCCATTAGCCAATTGCATAAGTTCACGTGTCATAAAGCCAAAACATGCTGGTGATACTAAATAACCACCTAATGGTGCTGGATGACCCGCTGCAGCATCAAATCCTGCTGAGACAAGAACAATATCCGGATTGAAATATTTTGCTATTGGCATTACAACTGTGCGGAATGCAGCAATGTATTCGGCATCGCCTAAAGGTGGATTTAGTGCACCGGACCAAGATATGTTGACATTAAATCCCAAACCAGAGCCAGTACCACACTAAAAACAAAATAAAAAATATAATTAATATGTGTTCCATGTAATAAAAAAAAAAAAATATACTTCAGTGGGACCACCAGTTCCAGGAAAGAAATTTCCATCATCATGTCTATGAATAGATAGGTATAAAACGTCAGGGTTATCATAAAATGCTTGTTGTGTGCCATTGCCATGATGTACATCCTAAAAAATTAAATACATTTTAATTAATAATTTTTAAATTTATAAATTTAATTTTTTTACCCAATCAACTATTAAAATTCGTTTCATATCAGGCATTTTTTGTCGTAATAATTTCGCTGCAATCGCTATTGAATTAAAAAAACAAAATCCCATCGCCAAATTGGCTTCAGCATGATGCCCTGGTGGACGTACTACAGCAAAACCATTTTTAATATCACCCTTAGCTGTTTTGAAAACTAAATCAATCACACAACCAGCAGCCATTCGAGCAGCAGACGCTGTATTTTGTTCATTCCAAGTTGTGTCTAAATCAACACCAACACCACCACACGATAAACGTACAAAACTTACGGATGGAATACTTTCAAGTTTTTGTCGACTTAGTTGACATTGATTTGAACCAAAAAGCAGAGAATGTGCTTCGGTATGTACTGTTTGCAATTCTTCTTGCGTTGCTTTTCGTGATCGTAATCGATCACATCGTTTTGCTAAATCAGTTTCATTTAATCGGGCCCAAACGCTTTGTAAACGACCACTGTGCTCTGGATGTAATGAGTTATTGCCACATATGCAAGCATGCTTTAACATGAGATTATCATAGGCTAAACCCGTAGTAATTTTGTGCGAAGGCAGTCCATGTGGACTTTTTAAACTTAATGCGGTATTTGTGGATTGTGCTCCTATAGTAGGAATAGACATACACATACTTGATGTGTTGGAGTACTCAAGCATATGGCGTTTATGTGGTAAAGTGAGATTAACTGGAGGAATATGATCAGCAGAAGATGATGTTGCAATTGGTGTAGGATGCTGTCCGGTATCTGGAATTTGACTTAAACCGTGTGGACCTAAATGTACTAAAGGACTGGATAAGGTACGGGAAAGTGGACGTATGAGTCCTCTTGCCACAGCATCGTCAATCTAGAAATTAATTTCAAAATGATATATATTATTAGACATATATATATGTTAATATAATAATTATACCTGAAGATTTTGCTTATACAATAGTTCTCGTTGCTGTTGTAAATAGTCCTGATCTCTGATTTTACTGGGTTTATGGGGGGTGCATGCAATAATTGGCGCTGCAGTTGCTTCTGGTAAATTTTGTGAGGTACTCGTGACGACAGTACTTGTTAAAACTGTCTTTGGAGGTTTCTTTTTATCCGTCAAGTCAATTACTTCAGCAGAATCATCTTCTTCTTTAAGCAGAGGTTCGCGTACAGCGCCACTTCTAATCAAAACTGTTTGTCGTATCTTTTGATTAAGCAAGAGATGCTCATAAGCTTGGCGCTCAGCCTTAAGGAGACAGAAATATTTATTAAGTAATAATAAATAAATAAATAAAAAGTTACACATATAATTATACAATAAACTATTAAATAATTATATTTAAATAAAAAACAAATATTTTATTAAAAACCAATATAATTTTAAAAAACTGTCACGATTTCATCTGTCAGGTGACGCGATTTGGCAGCGGATTTTAAATATATTTCCTAATTTTTTCTACTACGTTATATGTCGATATAACTAAGTTCTGAAAGTAATGGAAAAATTTTCGCTATATGACATATGTAGTCTTATTGTCACTATATTCAATACATATGGCTTACTATTTTAAAGTCTAATATCTCAAAAACTAAGCTTCTTTAAATTTATCAAAATCCGTTCATAAATTCCATTATCCCCGGGTATCAAAGTTTTCGCAAATAATGCAATAAAAACTGAATCATATACGGGATATTAAAATATTTGACAAATAAATGTAATTGGTTCATTTATTTATTTCTTTACAAAAGCATACAAAATAAACTTAATACTTTTTATATATAAAATTTTTTCAATATTCATTTTACTTACATCACTGTTTTCGTAATGAGTTTGTGATATATTAATTTGGCCGGTACTTGTTAGCATTGGATGGCCTAGTGGAAGAGGTGCTGATTGAGTTCGCCCCAGTGGTCGATGGCCTTGTTTGTTCAAATGGGCTTGGGCAACTTGTGCATCAGTTATTGGTTGCCCGTAAATTTGTTGACTTACTCCTGTTGGAATAACATAACTACCGCCTACATTAGCCATTTGGATAAGTGAAGCATTTGAAGAAGCAGCATGAGCTTGTGGTGGTACGTCGCTTATAATTGAAGCTTGAGATGAAGATGTTGATGTAGCAGAAGCAGAGCGTACAACTGGTGATGATGGTAGTGGTACAACACTATTGCCAGCATTAGGTGGTACCATCGATGTAGGAGGCGGCGGCGGTGGAGGTTGACGTCCATATGTCACTGCTAAAGGATTATAATATGTTTGCATATTAGCATTTCGCAACGCTGCCAGCATAGCAAGATTAGCTGCATTCGCGGGAACATTCGGTAAATGTGGACGGCCAAGCGAAATATTTGGCATAGAAGGTGAACTAAAGAGTGATAAGTCATTGATACTACTTCTTTGACCTGGATGATAATGACTACCCTCTTCATTCTCTTCTTGTATAGGTGCACTTGTCGGCGAGCCTCTGCTTCCAACTACACTCGCTGATAAACTAGATGATGGTGGAGAATTAGGACCTGAATCAGGTGTACTATTGCAGTCTATATAAAAAAAAGTTTAAAAAAAACATTAAGTAAATTTCAACATTAACAAAAATTTATAGCAAGCAAGATATGAAGATGCCTTGGCGATGGACGTCTCCATTTTGAGTCGGGTTTAGTGAATTAATACAAAGAATGGCATTAAGCATTTCACATATCGTACACAATTGTGGAAATTATTTTAGTTAGTGCAACAATAAATAAAAAATGAAATACACATTTTTTTATGCCAAGCTTATACAAAGTTTCATATATAGCTCTAGTTAATATATATTATTTTTTATCTCTCTCAATCGTAGTTAATAGGGTCAATAAGAGGACAAAGGGTCAATTCCATTCTTCGTTGATTACTTTAAAATATTGAAAGGCTATTTTAAATAACAATAAATTTTATTTAATTTGAATAGTGTTTAATGCGTAATCTATTTGTATTAACTTGCTTCCGATCTCAAAGTATATTGTTTGCATACTGTTCATAACAATGGCGCTGATGAATACGCGATCAGTACGATAACGTTTGTATATATGTCAATCATTCAATGTGATAATGATACGTATACGTACTTGATAAAACAGAATTTTGCTTTTGTTGCCTCCGTTGTGCAGCTTGCAATATGCGCTCGTGGCGCTCTTGTCGTCGTACTCCAGCTGGACCACTAATTCTTGCCTTACGCTCGATGACACTCTGTTTTAACCGTATCTTCAGCAAATTTGGTTCGGATGCTGTGTGTGAATATTAGCAATGTTTATTGTCAATATTTATTTTTTTTTTCTTATGTGTAAAGTCGGTTCAAAATATCAAACTTTTTAGATAAAATAGATAAAATAAAATTTTTAATTGGGACTGCAAAGTTAACTTCTAACTTTGTTTTAAATTAAGATATAATTTGAATATATCGTAAAGTGGATTAAAAGAATTTTTTTTAAAATTATAACTTTAATTATTACAAATTACTATAGCTAAATATATATATATATTAAAACTATTTTCATTGAATTTACGCTAGATATCAAACATTTAAAATATTATTTCAATATTATACCGTAGCATGGTAATGCGTTTTTTCTAAATATGGTTTCATCGTTATTATATCGTATGTAGTATTATTAGTTTAAAAAAAAATAACATTTTAGTTAAGATAACAACATTAAACGACGTTCTTTATATCGTTAGCGTACTGCAAAAACACACTAAATCATTTTTACACTAAATTACGGTATCTTTTTTTTCTACGCTATTAACTGGTAAGACTGGTATAACCTAGCAAATTCCAAATGAAACTTAGAGTAAAAAAGCTACTTAGTGACGTGAACATGAGTTCTTGTTTGACTTAGAAGGTTCTTGCAGTAAACCGAACATGATATGTGTGTAAAGGGATTCTCGTGTTTGTTTAAAAAATTTATAAATAAAATATATTATTTTTACTAACATCATGCAAAAGCGCATAAACATTTTTCGATTTGTTACATTATGGTTAAGGAACAAACACGTGTAAAAACTCATAATTGATGGATGAAACTTACCTGTTTTACGCAATGGAAAATCTGATTCATATTTCAAAAGCGATGACGGAGGTTGAGGTATTTTGTATGGATGAGCACTTGCTACAGCACCTGCTGGTAAAGATTCGCCTGAAGAACTTTTAACAACACCCCTAAATATATAATAATATAATTAATTAATTTAATTTATATCGTTTTGTGTTTTTCAACTTATAACTTACCTATTCCTATATGGTGAAGTTGTTGACATGCCATTAGAAGAAACTCCTTGTTTACGATTCAAAATAAAACACTTTTATGGAAAAATAAATTAATGAATTGTATTGTAAAATTTTCTGTAATAATTTCTTACATTAAGTATTTGTTTCACTTCAGGACTGGCATTTGCACTACAGTTCTCCTTACGTTTTATAACTTCACGTTCCCGCCGCTCCCTTTGTTGTTGTTCTTCCACTGCAGTTGCAAGTCTCTGTTCTCGTAATTCATGGAAAGCGCCATGTGTATTCACCGCATACTAGATAAGGTAATTAAAATAATTTTGATCTATTATTTTGTAAGTTCAACCACAAAATTTTAATAGCTTATACTACGTTTCGGCGATTATTGAGTTATCATAATAAATTGAAATCTTACTATTGTTCGAAATATGAGTTCACGCTGATCGAATTATTATAATAAATGAAAACATAATTAAACGTTTGTTCCAAATTTTAATCTAATATATAATCCTATAAGATCTTTCACAAAGCGGTTTGGTCTACTTAGCTCAATAAACTCATTGAACACGTTCAATTTAAAATTTATTACAATAATTAATAACAACAATTAATAATACAATTAATTGTAATAAATTGAGTATTATGAATGGGTTGCAACAACAACAGCATTGTTTTGTCTATAATTTAAATTATAATAAAATGTTCATTTATTATAATAAAAGCTTTTGCTTGTAATGAAGGTGCCATTATTTATTAATATATATACATATATTTCAAACAGAATCAAAATATTAATCTTTATGAAAAATATTTATTTGATTATAATATATGCTGGTATATTGACTCACAAGTTTTAATTCGATAACAGACTTTATTAAGAACTATGTTAGAAATTATTAATTTAAATCTTTTCAAAAATAATACTACTTATTTTAGTATGAGATAAATTTTATATTGATTACAAGTGAGAGATATAACACTACATCTTTATAGGTCAGAACTTTATTTTGGACGTCAAGTAGAGATAGATATATTAAAAAACAGAGTAATTAAATCAATAGCAAATATTGTGCTAAGGAAGTCAATGCTTAGATAAAGTTTCTTGATCAAATCTAACAAATGTGGGGGGTATATATTTTTTAATATTATTTTAGAGTTCAAAAATTTATTTGAATTTTTGATCAGTTGCATTATAAACTATATTTTTATAATATTAGATGTGACGTTATAATGTTTTCTTTTCCAACTACACACACCTTCCTGATGCTAGAGCAAATAAGAAAACAACTAAATTGGCAATTAACTCTAACTATATTCTGTTATATTTTAGATTTCAGCTAACAAAAGCTGATTAAAAAATTTAAATTATGTAGTTTTAAATTTTCAATAACTATTATGAAAAGGATATCAGGGTTTCAATCTGGAACTTAACCGAAAAAAAGAAAACGATACTTTTGTCGGAGCGAAAACCGAAACTGAAATAAAAAAATAATCGATTTACCGATAAAGAAATAGTGCTTTATATCGGTTCAGCATAGTATAGTTGGTAACTACTTATTTAAATGTATTTCTCTTCAGTTGTTAAAACGGTCATGAATGACAGCTACAAACTCAAAAATAATTTTTATGTATAAACTATGTCCGTTTTTTTTGTTGAACAACTTTGTTCACTATGCTTTTTCGATAGAATAACAGAATTACTTCAATTATGACAAATAATTAATTTATAACACAAATACTTAATATTAACTCGGAACTTAACTGAAAATCGAAAACAGCGATACTTTTGTCGGAGCGAAAATCGTAACTGCATTGATATAGTGTTTTTCAATTTGTACTGCAATAATGTGGATTATAGTATACCGCAATCTATGATATAACGCGATATATAAATTATAGATATATATCTTATGACATCTCTGATTAGAGCTTCCTAAGTTAAAGTTTGCTAAAATAAAGTCCATTACTAAATAAAATAATAACCTCTGATTTAAGATTTCAGAGACCTTATTTGGTTTAATGAATCCAAAAAGAAGATAATAAAACTGTTTTCTAAAAACTACAGGATACCAGCGGATGAAAAGGATGAATTATAAAATATTTTATAATAACGTCTGCCAGTTCTGTAAACATTCATTACTCTTTAAACGTATTTAGAAAGTTGGAGTTAACAAAAATGTATGCAGTTAGTGAGCGCTTAACATGAGTTCAAATTAAATTGAATCCAGAAACTTGTTGGCATTTTTTTTATGGATCCGATTGAGTATCGGTGCTTAATTTTTTTTATCTATTTTTTTTCAATGTTTCTAATTACGGATGCAGTTTATTAAGTGAATATTCCATAGAAAAGCTAAGGTTCTAGAAAATGAGTTTAAGCATTCAGTTGTGCAAGCTTATCAATAATTTAATTAACGGGGAATATCTACTGAATAGATAGCCAAATATTATTATGTTCGTAATACTTATGAGATATGAGATTTTTGCAACTTCATAACAGCTTAAAATTAATACAAATTTACATAAAACATGAAACCAAAATTGATAGTCTATAATTATATGCAAAATTAAACTTTATCATTTGTTTATGGCTGTTAATTAAGCTAACGTACTTTTCTATTATGCTGTCACATAACATTTTTAGTAAATTAATAAGAACACATTCTGCTTTGATGGAAAATTAATTTTAAAAGTCTACTATACCTATAGGTCTATCTAATGGTCACCTAATTATGTGAGAAACAAGTCACAACACAAAACAATTCTGTGTACATACGAAACTAATTCTTTAAGTTTAATAAGCACTATATAAGCTTATTCCATCGGTTTATGAAGCAGCCGATATCCCGGGTCTATTGCCCCGGAACTATTCGTCTTTTCAGACGACCATTCGTTACAACTGGGTTACGATTATTCAATAGTTAAATTAAATAACTAGAATGAATCCTTTACCTGAAACTTATGTTCCAACTGGAGTTTATGCTGCAGCTCAAGTTGTTTTGTTTGTTCTTGAAATGTATGTAACAGCATTTGTTTTTGTAACTCTTGCTCCTTTTTTAACTGAAATTAATTTAAAAAAAAATAAGTAAAATTAGTTGGGTTTTTTTGCAGATTATGGTTTCTACAATTTCAAAAGAAATATTAATATAATATTCCGAAAAATTCAGAAAAAATTCAAATTTTTATCAATTCTAAATATAAATTTGCATAATATATATAATATATATGTATTTGTAGGTATGTACATTTCTAAAATACGTTTCCATGACCTTAAGTCTAATACACTGCTTTTTAGTGTTGTTTAAGACTTTTATGTAAACTTTTTTATTTATATATATATTTTTTTAAATATATACATATGTTTATAAAAAGAAACTTTTCTTTGATTTACACATCACACTTTCCTTACTTTTCTATTTCACTCAACCGACTGGCAAAAAATAAACACAATTTATAATATTTCTTTTGGAGAGCACTTTTTTAAGAGCTAAACAAAATAAAAAAGAACAAAAATAATCGAGTCAACACTTTTCACAATCTCACTCTCTGTGTATCTGAGATACAAAGATACAAACAGTTTGCGCGGGTTTTATCAGGCATCCTTTAACTAATAAGCTCAAGCATTGTTTATAGATAGTTGTGTAAGTTGTGTACCGTTAATTTGCATACGAGCATTTCCATAGATACATTTTTGTACAACTTCAAAATTCCAAAATAAAATTCTTCTTGGTGCGATATGTTATTTATACATTTTCATATATACACGTATAATATATATACTCATATGAATATATATATAGAATATAAGTATTTTTATGGCTTATCCAATAATAAACTTAAAAGAGCAACCACAACCAGGCGAAGCTATAACTTCACTTGTAAAGGCACGAATACTTTATAAAAACAAATACGAGAAGAAAAACAAAAACTGAATATGCTTTATAAATAAATTTACTTTATGCACTATGTAAGCCTTATATTATTACTACACATCTGAACTTTATTTTTAGCACAATCACCGTTTTATTTAGAAATGCGCAAAATACATATTTTCGTAGAGACAATAAATAGACTCATTAAGTTGTACACGTTTATATTTAGATATTCGGTGAGAAGAGCATTAGGATGTGTATAGGAGGAGAACTTATTGTGAGCTATAATAAGAATATACCATCAAATCAGCAGAGCAGCCGAACAACGAATAACTGAACAAGACCGCGATGCTTGATTTTCATCAATATTTCGCTATTTTAACTTCAATTTCACAATCATTAAACATAGTTGCTGAATGTCGATACTAAATACTTCTAGTGGGTCTTTCAAAATAGGTGTATAGATAATAATTATTAATTACAATCTAAAACTTTTTTTTTGTTTTCTTAAATAATTTTGTCTTGCGTTTAATCTATGGATGAACACTTCCATGAAAAATCTTGAAAATAATAAATTTAGGTTTCGTCTTTTCTTATCATAATTTAGACTTAAAGTATTGCTCTTCTCACTACAAAAGTGTCTTTTAAGCTATAGTATTTGTTGTCACAAGAGCGGAAATCTCTAATCAATCTCTTTTTAAAGAGAATATTTATGATTAATTGTAAGTTTGATATAGTGAGTGGTGACTGCGGAAATTATTGCAGTCTTAATAAAAAAAATAAGTTAATAATAATAAGTTAAAATACTATTGTAATAATTGTTACTTATCTATAATTAAAAAAAAAACTAATTTTAAGAATATATTTATAAATAGGAGATAATTATATATAGTTAAATAAATGTTCAATATATTGTTATAAATCATTAGGTGAAAAATTGATAGTATATATATATATATTTGTAATATTTTTCAGGTGAAAATGTTGGAAAAAAATTCAAAAAGATATTTGTAAATAGGAGAACCGATTACTCATAATACTGTTAATAAAATAATAAGTAATAATAATAAAACTAAATAAATTTCCAATATATTGTTATAAATCATTAAATGAAACATCGATAATTTTATAAAAAAAAACTAATGTCAAATTTATATTTGTAAATTTTTCGGGTAGAGATGTTGAACAAACTTTCAAAAAGATATTTGTAAATATAGAACCGAATATTCATAATACTGTTAATAAAATTATAGGTAGTAATAATAAAACTAAATAAATTTCCAATATATTAATATAAATCATTAAGTGAAATATCGATAAAAAAAAACTACTTTCAAGGATATATTTGCAATAGGTTTCGGGTAAAGATTTTGAACAAACTTTCAAAAAGATATTTGTAAATTGGAGAACCGAGTATTCATAATACTATTAATAAAATAATAAGTAATAATAATAAAATTAAATAAATTTCCAATATTTTGCTACAAAATATCGATACAAAAAAATCGGTATTAAAATGTTAGAAAAAATTTTAAAAAATTATATTTGTAAATGGGAGAACAATATAATGCTTTATAAATTTTGCTAACTAGGAAGTTTCCAAATATCCTAATATTCTGTGTATATATAATAGAATTTTGAATATGTTGTTCTTAATAATAATATGAAGGGTCGCTGGTAAAAAGGGTCAATTTAAAACATCTCTGACATATGGATTTTATTAGAAAAATCTTTAAATATTATTTTTAAAAAGAGATTATGAATATATTGCTACTAATCACTAGAACACGTAAAAAGAATGACACAAATGTGAATATTTTAAAACTATGTTTTAGAACTACATTATAGAAGTATAAATTAAAATTTATGTGAATTCAAATATATTCAAATAGTGCATATATCAAATAATTCGAATAACAAATAATTATCATCAACACTAAACCGATAACAAATTTTTCTGGGTATGATATTCTGATACGCATTGAACCTCACAGAAATTGTGAAACATACGATTCATAATATATATTTTTTTTAAATTTAAAATTTATCATAAAAAGTGATTTTAAAAAAAACATTAACATAATTCATTAAAGTAATTCTAATAAAACTAAATGATAGCTGTCAATTCATATAATTAAATCTGATATAAATTAAAACTAATTAATTAATGTGGATTTTTTGTACTATAAATTATAGAGTATAATGTGTATAGGTTGATTATTTTCATAACAGGATCAGTTATCAGCGCTGAGGTAGAAGTTTTAAAAACATAAAAACTTCTGCTATATAAATTAAATAATATATATTAAAAAGTTTTATATATTAATTATTTTAATAGTTTCTCCAATTCACATAAACCTTCACAAATTTTTTTTTTTGTACATAGTTTTTGCATTTGCATAATTGTTTCTTGTTTTCTAAAATCTCCATCAAATCGCCTTTAGATCTAAATATTTTTGAAAAAAAAACTTCTAACATCATATATTGTCTTTTAAGTTTGTAATACGAAAAGCTATTTATTTCTTAATATTTTTAGAAAATTTGTAAAATGAAACAATGCAAAGATCTTCACATAAACAACTCAAATCTATAATGTTGGGATATGTAGGAACATTTATTATCCTACATTACTAAAGCACATAATATATTAATTAAATATATGAATATATATATATTTTATAACATCGTCGATTTTGATTACCAGCATACTAAATTTAAAATTAGCAGAAGTTATATTTTAAATATAGTTCTCAAATATAGATCAAAACGAGAACAAGAGGAGATTCTTGATGGATACATTATTATCTGCTAAAATTTAAGGTTGAATAATAATGTTTGAAGTAAGTTGCAGGTGCTGGAATAAGTTAAGATATTTTCAAAACGTCAATAACCGCATTATGTTTTATATCTACAATATAACTCAAGTTATTCCAGAATATTTGAAATTTATATGAAATGTATAATATAAATGTATATTATATAAGATATAAATTTTAAGTCGATTTTTATCTTTGTTACTAAAATATAATATTATTATTGGATAAGATTAATGTGATATTTGTAATAAAAATAATGAAGAATAATATATTTGTAGATATAAATAATAATATTTCCTTTCAGCGTTGTATAAACGCGGTTGGTGGTAAAACAAGCAAAGACTCTAAAAATAATAATATTTTTATTATCTTTTTAATTTCCTTACATAAGAACTAATGCTAAGGTGCATTAAAAATATTTGGAAATACTTGGTTTTAAAATCGCTCTTCAGATAATAAGATATTTATTAGGAAAAATCTAACAAATATTTGTAAGTATAAATTCATTATCAGATACTATCATACATTTCTCAGCTTGAACTCACATCAAGCTTCTACTTTAATAACATTAAGAAGAGAAGAGATAGAAACATTCCTAAGTCATTTCTTCTTGTTATACTGATAAGTAATAAAGGTGTATATGGTATATTTACAATATTGTAAAGGGTGTAAACTATAACAGTTGGATTAATTTAAGAAAAAAATAACAGAAAAACCACATTTTTTGTTTTTCAAATATTTTAATTAATATTGAAAATGAAATAATTTTCTACCATTACTGTTTTTGTATTCTCATTGAACTGGTCATTTTTGAATAGATGGAATTTTAAAAGGAAATAGTTATTAATAATATATCTATTTATATAGCTATATTTAAATTTACTTAATTCATATTTAAATAATTTATATAATAAAAATTTTGAAATAACATACCTCAAGTATTTGTTGATTAATATCACTCGTAGGTACTGGTTTAAAATCTAATGTAAGTGAACCCGGTGTTATATGTAATCTTTCGTCTGGACCAACTTCTCGCACAATATCTAAAATTTATTTATAAATAGTTTACAAATTAATTGCTTGTTTTATAATGACAAATAATTTAAATATATAAAGATTTTTTTTTATTTTTAATAAAATATTATATGATATATATAATCATTGATAACCATAATCATATTATATGACAAATATGGTATAATATACCTTTATAAAATAATGTAAAAATGATATAAAATGATGACTCTTGGTTAACTAAGGACCAAATAAATTAAACTGATAATCGAACACAATACAACATTATTATAATAAACTATAATATAATGTAATACATATATAATATAATATAATATGCTTTTAGGTGCATTACGATAAATTAAATTAGCAACTGAGATGGTAAATTAGTTTTATTGTGTTTGTAGTTTAGACGTTTTAATTTGGTGTGACACTTAAAGACATCTTTAATCTTTAAATTAATTATTTATAAAGATATTGATACCAACATCTAAAAATATTATTAATAAATACGTTTCTTTTGTAGTATTTACATGTTTACATTTGCTGAACTTCACAAAAACCAGTTAAACTTTATGTCGAGTAAAAACAACAGAAAGAAATATTTTAATATATTTTTTTATTAAATTTTTCTTAATTTTCGTTATTTTAATGCAGTTATCAAGCACTTTATGTACTTTTTTATTTTTTCCTACTTTTTTATTTTAGTGCCTTTTCCTGACAATTTTTTACTGAATACTTGTTTCTGTTTGCATTTGTTAAAATGTATACATTTGGGTTGAGTGGAGCATATATTCTACTGCTGTATGCGTTGAGTGGAGTAAAGATGTTTATTTTCTAGTTTGTGTAGTTGTAGTCATTATTTTTAAGTTAATGATACGGATTAGCGAAACAATAGTCGATGCGAACTACAAGGGATAGAGTGCAAATTTTAAGTTTTCTGATTTTCCAAATTAAGAGGAAATCAGATCACTAGAGATGTGCTGTTTATATGAACTTACTTGATGATTAAATACCTGCGTGAATGATCCTAGCTTTGCAGGATGACAGATAGTTCTGTTAGTTTGATAAGAAACAAGGTCTCTACGATTTTAAATCTTTTCCAAGTTAATGATGGACACTGACACATGAGGTGGAGTAAAGTTTTTTTCTCATCTACAGAGCCACAAACCCGACAGAAGTCATTAAAGGATAGACATAGTCTCATTGTACGTCTTTCTAGTACGCAGTGACATTTCAGCACTGATATAGTAATGCTGAGCAGGCTACGCCCTAGTTGATGCAGCTGACTAGTACATTTCTTGTCCAATCTGTACCAGGTCGAACTTGAAATAGCTATGTTTAAACATTTTTGTTTGCTTGCTTGGTCATTGCAAGTGGGATACCAATATCTGAGAAATTTTTTGTCAAGGAGTAGACTGCCTACCTTGCTAAACACTTCATAACTACCTGTCTTGTTAAGAGAAGTCCGGCATTTTCGAATTGTTAAGGGTGTGACTACCAGACATTTGATGTTGTCTAGACCTCATTTTGCTGCGTAGTGAATTACTTTTGTCTGAAAGACATTGCAAATGATAAGACCCAGTATAACATTATCAAAGTATGACTTAATTAGTTTAGAAAATGATGTTAAGAATTTTTGTATTGAATTACATGGAAATATACAAATATCTACAAATATATTATTATTATTATTTCCATACTCCATTAGGAGCTTAAGGAGTCTACAAAAGTTCTCGACTGGTTTCTGTTTTGTGCTTTTGCTTTCAACTCGTTAAACGATTTGACCGTTTTCTTGCTGAACTGTCCTACACTAGGTCATTGCTGGTTTGCCTCTGCGCATAGTTTTCTGGGGGTATGTTCCCTGGCGATATCTTCATAAGGCTTACGCAGTTTGTGTCTAATCCAACCATACTTCTTTCTTCTTATCTCACTGTTTACGTTTGTTTGGTGCGTTATTCTCCATAACTCTTCATTTGAAATCGTTCTAGGTCACTATATGCCTAATATGTTGCGCAGGCATTGATTGATAAATGATTGCAATCTTCTTTGGATTTAGGAGTTAGCATATATATACATAGATTTAACTTGTTTTGGTGATATACTTCAGTACATGCGTATGAAATTTTTAAATGGACGTCTACAGGATGACATACGACAATAAAAGGACTAAGGATAATCAGATATTTAATATATAAACTTAATGATTCCCTTCATAAATGATAAATGATTTTTAGGCTTTTTATACATTTTTATGGAGTTCAAAAGTCTAATTTCTATTCTATTCGGCTATTTAAAATATATACGAGTATAAACTTAATACTTCCATTAATATAAGTTTTTGAAGTAACTATATTATAATGTATCCAATTATCACTTATGGATGGATTGGTATTTCTTTGCATTTCGCAGAATAAATGCCAATCAATGATGTAAACAAAAACGTTTGCAATATATGAAATAATAAATTAAGAAACAAACATTATAGAAAATAAAACACAACAAATACCGTATTTTCTGTCTAAAAACAATACAAAGAAATGTTAGCATAGAACAGAAAATAGAACGAAGGTCGTATAAACGTTAACTTTGCAAGGTATTAAGGCACTTTTGTTATTGTTGCTTTTATTTATACTTCCACATTACATTATTTCTATAAATACACATTTGAAATGCTCCTTCATTTTCTGTTTTGTACTTTACTTTGCCGTTTTTAGCTTTTATATTGAATTCCTTTTACTTCCTTTGCCTGTTATAGAACAGAACAACATTACAATAACAAATTACACTAACTTATACACCACTCAGAGATTTTCAGTATTATACGAAATGCTGAACGTAAATTGAATTAAATTGAATAAATGTGAAATAACCATATTCACTGTGTGCTTGAATAGGCCGTGACCTGCTGTTCTATTTTTAGACACATTTATAAATCGTGCATAGCTATAGTATATTTAGAAACAACAAAACTAATTAAAATGAAATTCGTACATATTCTACTTTACAACAAAATAAAAACTATAAAAAAAAATACAACACAACAACAAAAAACTATAACATCAACATAAATCCTTAGTACACGAGTAAAGTAATTTAATGTCAGTCCGTTTGATTTGTATTAAAATTTTATATTAAGTCATTTCTGCTGTTAATATATTATGTTATGTTAAAACGTAAAATTAGCAGAATAGCCATCAGAAACTGGTAATTGTCAAAGAGGCGAAAGCTCACCCCGAACTGTGATGTTAAAAAGCGAAAAAGAGAAAGAATATTAAAGGTACAGCAGCAAGTAACTTTTATATTTACAAATTTAAGTCTAAAAAAAGAATGAAGGAGATTATACACAACAAATACGTAGGAAGCGTGAACAGAGAGGGAGGATGTTACAAATAATCTCATCTCCACATTCATTACATTCATAAATAAAAGGTTCTTGTAGTTTAATGTAATTATATTAACATAGGCAAAGATAATGATGTAATTTTTTAAAAAAATATAAGCAATGCTTATAAAATACTATAGAGCATGGCTTCAAAACAATTGAACTAATGGATAATGGTTTTGAAAAAAATTAAAGATTTTTAAATTATAAATAATTTTATAGCAATTTTAAAGACGCTCCGGTATGGACGTATGCAATCCAGTTATGAGGATGTACACCAAAATCGTCTATTCACAAATCATCCAAAATTTCCAAAACAAAGTTTTAAGAAATTTAGTCAACGCTCCGTGATTCATTAGAAATACTGACCTACATTGGGACTTGAAGATCGAATCTGTGGATGCAGTAATACAAAAGTTTGCGGTGAAGTACCAAAAACGGCCTAATACTACATCTGGCCTGCTGAGGAGACTTAAACGACTTAAGTCTTCAGATCTACGCTCGAATTATTAGTCTAATAATAATTTAGATTATTACTCTATTAGCACTAAGTCTTTGACAACTTGACAATTGTAAAACGTATTGTAAAATACAACAAAATTGCTTGATAGTTCTCTGTACTTGAATTAGTCAAGTGAATGAAATATGTATGTGTTTATATTATTGTACGTATTGTTTTAAATAAAAACAAATTTTTAAAGATTGGTATTATATATTTAAAAGATAATTTGACAATTTAACCAACATTTAGAAATCAAGCTTAGGTTTGATGCAAATTAGATGATTACCTAGACAAGATGAAATAGGATAGTCAAATAATACTAAATAAATGATTAAATTAAACCCTATTTATTCCAATAACTTGTGAAAAAAGTAATAAATCTGTAGACACAGTTGTTTAAAGTTTCATATCCTTTCTAATTACATTCGCGAACATTTCTTTATGGATAAGTTGAATAAACTATACAAACAGGTTCTATTATAAAACCCAAAATAAATGAAAAAGTTTGTTGTCGATGTGATCTTAAAAAAAAAATCCGACAATTGCCAGACAAGTTTAGAAAAAGTTGCTTTAGTAAATTTTAGATGGCTACTTTTTCTTAAGATAATTTTGTTATAGGTTTTAAAACAAATAACATCATCAACACTATAGTTTCAATTATATATGTAAAAAAGGTAATTTAATATTCATGGACTAATTTGACGAAAGAAAAAGTAACAATGGCGAATGGTAACGGGTTATCCATTTCATGATTCTGATTTGGTAGCTATGGTTCAGTGAAATGAACTATTTAGAACTGTTTGAACAACAAAACTTAAAACTTGTTGCAATAGTGGTGACTATTTTTGCATAGTTTTTTTCAGTGTCTCGCCTCATTTTGGTGGATAAGTTAAGTGAGGTTGGAGTAGACCCTTGTAAATCAAAACCGTTATGATACCAAGACTAAAGACATGGGCGTACCCAGAGGCTGGGGCACTGTTTTGCTGAAACCAGTGTACACCCATGGCTAAAGACGTTCCACGATAGTAAGAGAACCACCAAAACATAGACTTAAGTCGCTATATAGAAAGCGTCGTAGAGAACTATCACAACTCCACCATTGAGTATTATTGAAAATTATTTGCGATATATAATATAATGTA